TAATATATGTTTTATTGGCTCAGCTAGGGTTATGTTAGACAGTTTCTTCTGTTTAGAGTCTTATTATTATCGGCGCCTTTTTGTGCTCAACATTGGCCCGGTGACCTGACGTTGCGCTTGTTCTTCTAAAAGTTTCCTCTCATAGTATTATGTGCCAGTTGGAAATTACAGTTTGTTGTTGAATATATAAATATTTTTTTTTGCACTTTCTTTTTTCTTGTTGCATTATAGCTTGTTTTAATTTTCATGGTTAGAATTACAACTTATAAAAGACTATTTGGTTTGTTGCGCAAAACAACACATTGCATTAAATGATAAGAGTTTGCACTACTGATCCATCATCTATCTCAGAACTCATGCTTCAGAAACAGTAGCAGCAAAATCAGCTGTTAATCCCATAAATTTTTGGCACACAATGAAGGCCCGGCTAGGTACTATTGGTTTGCAGATTAAACTCCGGCCTTTCTGAAGCGATCTTTCTACACTGCTATAAAAACGTTTTATTTCTTAAGAGCGGGAATGCGATTTAAATGAGATTTCGTTGATATAATGAAACATTTTTGACGGTCACATGTGACGCCTTTCAAGGCTGGATTTTTGATTTTCAATTGGAATTAAAATGCAGCACTAATCGGATTTTGACCAGCTCAAAATTTATTTGGTTTACATTGAAAACTTCGCATCTCATGCATTTCCACTGATGACTGAAAGAAGTTAAGAAGTTTGGTGTTCACAGTTAAAATTAGTTGTGTAGTATGCAACAAATTTCTAGGTTAAGAACTGCTTCTGTACCTCACTTTGCTTTCATTTAGTTGTTTTTTGCGGCACACATGCAATTGGTGGCAGGAAACAGCAAATTTAGAATAGGCGCAGTAAAGTTATGTAACAAGAAAAAAAGTTTGAAATGGAAAAACAATTTAAGCTGTTTTTCCCGGTCAATTCTGCGAAATTGAGGGGCAGAATGAAGCCAACAGTTGTTGAAGTTTCATTCATTACGAGACTTGATCCAGAAGGGACAACTGAAATGCTTTTGGCATTTTTTCATTCATTTAGGGCTTAACAAGATTTGATTCAGCTTGGCTATCTATTGTTTCATACAAAATAACTGGTTTATGGATATAAACTGAAAAAGTTTTATGAAGGTGACGAAAACGCAAGCAATATCCATTTATTGAAGCATTCAAGGTATTCCCAAATTTGTGTAGCAAATATTCCACATTTCTGTAAGAAAGCATTACAGTGTAGCTGATTTCTCAGCATTGCATTTTCAGGGACATACGTTTCAATTTTCTTATGCTACAGTTAAATCCAAAAACTATTATAATTAAATCGTTTGCATTTTGCACAAGTTTCCTTCAATTGTCGTCCTAGTTTCCATCGATTTTCAAATGGAAA